ATTATTATTATTATTATTGTTGTTGTTGTTCTTGTTGTTATGTTTTTATAATGGCCATATTGAGTGGTGGAAAACAGGTTTTCCTATTTTTATTATGCTAATATGTCATTATAATTATTATACTATTATTAATAATATGATTATTATTATTGTTATTATTATTATTATTATAAAGATATACATTTTATTATGCGAAATCTATTTTTATTAGAAATATATTAGTAGTAGTAGTATTTTATAATTTTTTATATTATATTATTGTAAATATGTATATTTTATTATGCTCATTATATTCATTATTATTTTATTATTATTATTATTATTATTATTGTCATATTAAATGGGGGGAAACTGGTTTTCCTTTTTTGTCCTTAGCATATCACATGGCTGAGCAAAGCAAAATAAACCTAATTGAAAATAAATAAATAAAAGTAATCAAAATATAACAGAACAGCTGAGTTTACTGTCCGTTTTGAGTGATATGAAAGGTTATCAGACTTAATAAGCTGTGGTTTTACAGCAGCACATCCCATCGTAATGATTTCCTCCTGAGCTGCGTCACGCTCTGCTAGTTTCTGCCTTCCTCTGACCTTGAAGGCCTCGCTCCTCTTCTGTCTGCTTCCCTGATCCCGCAAACGTCTCCCAATTCTTTCTGAAGCGCAGTCTGTCATAACTCATACTGCAAGTGAGTGAGAGAGAGAGCTACAGAGCCTCACATCAGTCTGCTTAGTTTGCAGGTTTGACTATTTCTCTGTCATCCGCATTCACTGCTGTTTGAATTGGTTTCTCAGCAGTTCCTGGTTTTATGTCGCCGCTGATTTATTCCCCTACCGCTCATTCTAGAGCTTTCTTTACTATAAAGACGACTACTAAATCAAGACATTTACTTTTATGACACAAAGTGAATCTTCCTCATGAATTCCAGACGTTTCTTGTTTTGTCGAGTGCAGTCATGTACTGGGGGTTTATGGTCTGTAAAGCCATGCCCTATGGTAACTAACGGCAACACCGGCTGGCATCTGCCCTTTGGAAGCTTGTAGAATCCTCATTTAGCTTTTGTGCAAAAAAGTACAATCAATATACACAAGAAAAAAGTTCTAAATAAAAATGATAAATATTATTATAAATACAGTACTGTGTTTACTGTACTTAAAACATTATTACATGCAATAATAGTTAATGCTTTTGAGCTTTTGGCAACAAATAAATAAAATTTAAATATGTGAATAAAATATTTCATGAAACATTTATATTTATTATATTAATTTAGCAAAAAAAAACATAATAAATATGAATTTTTCATGAACATGTTTCTTTTGGCATCAAATAAAAAATATATACAATAAACTCGTGTAAAAATTTACTTTTTATTATTTTTTACGTGTGTTAATTTAGCTAATAAAGAAGTTTAAAAAAAAACTTTATACACTATATAAAATGTAAATACAATGCATACTTTCTTTTTGGCAACAAATAAAAATGTAAATATTATAAATAAATGTAAAAATAATTCATTGTTTACTTGTGATCATTTAGGAAATATAAAATTTTATTGTAATATAAATATCACTTTTGAACATTTGTGAATGTTTAAGCTGTGCAAAATTAATAATTATAATTTACATTATATATATATATATTTATATATATCTGTATAAGAATTACTTTTTGTTAATTCAACAAATAATTTGCTGTTCTTTAGATCTCCATCACTTTTATAACTTTTTCAGAGAATAATGATAATTTGGCATGACACATTTTTTTGGCATGAAGATTTGGACTTTTAATTGCATCAGACTGGTGAACAAACCTTAAAGCCTTAATAATTCACACACACACACACACACACACACACACACACAAAAAAAAAACTGTCATTTCCTCA